ATGCAAAGTGAAATAAGTCAGAGGGAGAAGGTCAAATACCATATGATCTCACTTATTAAGTAGTAGATAATAAGAACAACAAACAAACACATAGAGACAGAGCTTGGATTGGTGGTCACCAGAGGGGGTGGGGGGGAGGAGGGCAAAAGGGATGATTAGGCACATGTGTGTGGAGATGGATTGTAATTAGTATTTGGGTGGTGCACATGGGAACATGATGTAGTGCATGCAGAAATAGAAGTAATGATGTACACCTGAAATTTATACAATGTTATAAAGCAATGTTGCCACAATAAACAAAAAAAATTTAAAAAATTTAAAAAAAGAGAAATCTTGATAAACAAACAAAAAAAGAAAGTGTTTTGCATAATGTTTGGCACATAGGAAGTGCTGGACAAGTGTTTTCTTCCTTTGTGTATGACATGAGAGACCTAGTGTAAAGGATGTGCTGAGCTGTGACATGAACTTCACTGGGCCTTCTGAGGCAGGCTGGAAGGCTGGGCAGGTGTCAGGGCTGAGGGCCCGCCCGCTGACGTCTGTTAACAGCAGCTAAGGCAGAAAGAAGAGCTGCCTGACTGCCGTCATTAGACATCAAGGTCAAGGGCAGGCACACCTATGCAGCAACTAGAAACCAAAGGAGAGCCTTCACCCAGCGGGTGAGGAGATCACTGTGAGTCCAGGGTCTTTCAGCCACACACGTGCGCACGCACGCACACACACATCACCACCAACGGTTTCTTCATTTCATGTGAAGGACAATTGTATATGTCTGCCAGGAAATTCTTAAATACTTGTGTGGAGGTCACTGCTCTTTTCTTCTGCTGCCTTTTTCTCTGTGCAGTCAAGGTTAGATGTGATTGGTTCTGAGAAGATAGGGAAGGCCAGGGAATGTGGGGGATAAGGACAAGGAAGAGAAGTAGGGAAGCAGCAGTCATCAAGAAGTGTCTTTAATTTTATTATCCACATCTGGATTCACCAGAAGATCCCAACATCATACCCCATCCTGACCCAGCACGCAGCTTGCTCCCACTCTTAAACCTCTCCCACTGGGCTGCCTCCATGCCATTGCCTCATCTCCATCCTCTTCCACTGGGTTGTGCCTCTTGTGTGATGTGGTTCCTTGATGCTCATTGGATTCTTCCTTATTTCCACTTGTAGGTTACTTGGTTTACAGTGCATCCTATGAAGACTTCATCAGGAACAAGTGGTCCACTCAGTCTTCATCAGTAACTCATTTGCCCATTGAGAATCTGAAGCCAAACACAAGGTATGATGTGTCAGTCATTTAAAAACAAAAAAATGAAACCTGTGTGCATGGTCACAGATATCTTTAGGTTGCAAATGAAAGGATCAATCGAAATGTTTTTATGATTTCTTTCTTTTTATTTTTTGCATTCTCTGTTTGGTTCTCATAGAATTTCAATGAACACTTACCGTATGTCATGTATTTTTCTTAGAAGAAATCACTGTAAGGATTGTAATTGTCTCTATTTTGTTTATATTTTGTTCTCTATTTTCCAGACTAAACACTACCTGCCACTGGGTAAAGAAAGGTTGTTCTGTGTGTTGAAAGGGAATCAATCTGTTTGTAGTAACCCATGTGGTGGCATTAGGCAGCACAACCTTCGTACATGAACTGGGACTCAGGCTCTATGATGTAGAAGTGAAGACCATTCAAAAAGATGCATTTTACACATTAATACAGGTTACAAGCATGTGTTTGCAAACTGGGCAGTGGCTGGCTGGCCAGAGGGCCATCTGGGACCCAGAGTTTGTAGTCCTCAGTGTGAAATATGCAAAACTTCTTCTCAAGGGTACAAAGAGGATGAGTGGGCATTTCCTCTTTTATACGATCTGGTTTTGATGGTAATGATCATCAGAAAGGCTTCCCTGGTGGGTAAACATGGGGAAAACAAGCATGTGATGGCGGAGCAGTGGTGTGCTTATAAACTGGCTCTCTGGGGAAAAAAAAATCCCTGGTTTATAGTGTTCACCAATTTCTGTAGTGTAAATACTCCCACCATGGCCAATTTCAAGCTACCAGTGGGCCTGCAGAATTCCTGAATGTTTAACAATCAGCTCTCTCAACCCCATGCAAATGGCTCCAGCACACTGTTGTCATGTCAAGCCACTGTATTTACGTAGCAAAGAGCCCTAAGTGATGTGACGATGGGCCCCATTTTCTGCAGCCAGAGGAACACGGAGAAGGCTGGAACAAAATACTCTCCATAAACAGATATGTGCTGAGGGGATAGAAACTGGACAATAACCGTGTTACCGCACAAAGTGCACCGTCTGCTCGCCATGAGACAAAAGCTAATCATCAAGCAGCAAGATAGTGGAAGAGAAAGGGCAGTTTATTACAGCTTGCTAGCAAGGGGGAAGATGGCCAACTCATGTCTCAGAGAACCATCTTAAGGGGACACAAAAGCTTACAGCAGTTATATAGGCCAGTGGGTTATAGGGGAAGGGGTTAGGAATGTTGACCCTCTGGTGTTACAGACTGGGAGTGCCATACCAGATCTTTCAGTTTTCACTGATGATGGTTATCAGCATAGACTCTCTGTTCAAGGGTCATCACATTCCTAAGGAACTCAAAAGAACAAAGTTATCTTATTGCAGCTGGGAGGTATGTGCACAAACAGGGGTTGTAAAATCTACAGAGTGGTTAGATCTCCTGGAGGGTGCATATCCAGCTGGGTTAGTTAGTCAGAGGTCATTCAAAGTTACAATAGGGTTTCTTTTCTATGATATGGCTTCCCTTATGTCAACCTTGTCTTGAGCCGGTATCAGCCATGGGTATTGAGAAACTTCTGAACTAGCTGAGAATTTTCCTCAGGGCATTTTAAGGTGCCATTTGGGCTCCCCTGAACTGAGCTTTTCATAAACTATTATGAGTTTCAGGATTTGACAGATAAGAAACAAGTAGCAAAACAGGAAACTGAGAAAGCACTTTATTTTTCCCTAATAGTAAGGAAAAATTGATTAATTAAAACAAAAATAACAAAACTAAAGGTAACATGATCCACATCCAATGTTCGTATTGTGTGCAGAGTGCCAATGTTTTTATAGCACAGCCACGGTGTCAGAAAGCTGAAAGAGCCCTTAGAGATGTTTTCACATAGCCACTTGCAGTAGAGTTTGAATCTCAGTCTCTCGTGCGCCACCCCCACCTCAAGTCCAATGTTCTTTCCAGAACTTTTGCAGCCAGGCTGATGTTGAGTTTTGAATAATATCAGGAGATGGTTATGTAGGATGAAGGTTTATTCATTCTTTAAACAGGTATGAAGGTGTGCCCACAGTTCATTCAGTAAGTGCTTACTGAGTGTTTGCTCAAGGCCAGGCCCATGTGGTGCACTAAGGGTAGAAGTGGAGGGCAGGGTGGGGGCGGGGTGGGCGAGGAGTCGGGGAGGGGCATAAAATACCCCATGGCCCTGTCCTCACGTGGCTCACAGTCTGGTCAAGGAAACAGATTGCTCATAAACAACATAAATATAAACTTTCACTGGTCAGAATCCTGCGGGAGAAGTATGCCGTGCTATGAGTGTGTAACAGGGGACTTTTTCCTGAGCTTGGGGGTAGAGGGGCAGTCAAGTAAGCTTCTCTGGGGAAGGAAGATAAGCAGCATTTAACCTGGAGAAGGTGGGTGGGGCGAGGCCGAGTTGTTCCAGGCAGAAAGCATGTTCAAAGGTGGGCTGCATTTGAAGAAGGAGAGAAGACCAATAGGGCAGGAGGGGGAGAGGAGGCTGGATGCTGGACAGACCGGTCCCAGAGGGCCTTGGGGGTCCCTTGTGGCTTCTGTCCTCCCCTTCACTCACATTCAGCCCCCTGATAAACAGGCTGGGAGCAGCAGCTGCTATTGGAGCCTTCTCCCCAGGATGCCCCCAGGATGATTCTTCTGATGGCGTGCTGGCTAGGACGCACAGCATGTGTGCCTCCTTCTACACAGATTTCCTCAAAACCCCTCTGAACAGCTGCTAAATTTCTACAGCTGGAAAAGTGTGACTGTGATGTGAGGACGCTCATTGTTTCCCTGCATCTCTGGTGGACTCACTTGAGGAGTCCTCGTGCTTGTTTCCCAGAGGCTGCATTTCCCATCCTCATCACAGTCCTCAGGGCTTCTCAGGAACCATCCTCAGAGTCCATGTCGGAGACACAAGAATCAGTCAACTCAAGAGGAGCCAGGGAGTAAAAATCAGCTTTGGTTCTTTATAACTGAATCTTGTTTTTCTTTGTTTTTGTTTTGGTGAGGACGGTTGTCGCTGAGCTAACATCTGTGCCCATCTCCCTCAATTTTTTGTTTTGGTGAGGAAGGTTGTCGCTGAGCTAACATCTGTGCCCATCTTCCTCAATTTTGTATATGGGATGCTGCCACAGCATGGCTTGACGAGCAGCGTGTAGGTCCATGCCTGGGATCCGAACCCGTGAACCATGGGCTGCTGAAGCAGATCGTGTGAACTTAACCACTACGCCACTGGCCCAGCCCCAACTGAATCTTGTTTTTGACATCATGTGGACATTGTCCACCTTATTCACCCAGCTCAGCCCCCAGTCACTCTCTGGAGTCTGCGTATTTTAATCCATACTTGAAGTACACAGATTTGTCACTGTGGAGGCTATTCAGAAGAAGGTGCCAAAAACTTATGTAAGGAGGCAAGGCATGGCTTGCTCTGGTTACTTGGGTCAGGCGGAGACTATTCAGAATATGAAATATATATTTAGTTCACAGAAAAAGTTTAATGTGGTTTTTGAAAATAGGAACTTTACTTTTTTCATAATTCCGTATTTTTTAGCTCAGCATATTTAAATTTACTTTGACACATTAGGTGAAGTTCAAATGGAATTATGTCCTTGGAATTGGGCCATATGGGCTTTGTGGAGAGGATAGAATCATTGTGTGGACAGGGAAGGTAGATTTGGAGAATCCTTCGATTTTGGTGGTAAGATAAATAGAACAAAGACATTGGAATGGTCTGTCTTAGCCACCTGGCCATCCCTTTTGCCATCTCCTGAGCTGCATGGCTGTGCTTCCCTCTGAAACTTGGTAAGTGGCATCAGGGTGGCTCCAGTGATGGGAGAAACATTCAGCAGAAATGTCCCATGTAGCCTCTGTACGTAAGTGTCATTCCTTAGGTTTTGCTTGCCTTTTCTTAAGGGAAAAAAAAGCATCTGTAAAGTTTGATCAGTATCATTGATGGATGCCAAACCCACTGCTTGAACTGCCTGTAGAGTTTTGCCTTAAATAACTCCACAACCACCAAATAAAAGTATGCATCTTGGGAAAACACGAACTGCTGAATGAATTGAGATTTAGAAACTCATATGTTCTTAATTGTGCATATCTTTTTTTAAAAAAGGAATTAAAAAAGGATTCTCTTCTAAATGAGATGTGAATTGGAAGATTTAAAAGAAGACTAATTTACCGAATGGGCTTTTGTTTGTTCTCTGTTTAATCAAACCCAAAGACACATATCTCTGTGTAAGTGTGAGGCTAGAGGCTCCCTTGGTGATCTCAGAAGCTCAGAAGCCTTGGTGCCAGGACAGTGGTGCAACAATAGGCCTTCGCTCTCTGAATGTAAATAATTCACCTCTTAAAAATCAGTCAGGGCCCAGCCTGGTGATGTAGTGGCCAAGTTCACGTGCTCCACTTCTGCTGCCCAGGATTCACAAGTTTGGATCCGAGTGTGGACCTACATACAGCTCATCAAGCCATGCTGTGGCAGCATTCCACATACAAAATAGAGGAAGATGGGCTCAGATGTTAGCTCAGGACCAATTTTCCTCAAGCAAAAAGAGGAAGATTGGCAACAGATGTTAGCCCAGGGCGAATCTTCCTCACCAAACAAACAAAAAAATCAGTGCATTTTATTAGTGCATATAATCTGTGTGCCTAACTTAATCAAATAAAGAATTTTGTAACATTGAAATGTAGCTCCTGTTGGCCAGAATCCATGAGAAAAAGCTCTTTACAAACTCTGTAAAATGGCAGAGGGATTTTTTACTCCCCTTCTTCACCTGTTAGTAGCTAAGGACTAAGAGAGTGCAGGTAATATCTGGAATTTCAAAGATAAGGAGAACACAGAGATTAACAACAGATGTAGCGGCTCATAACTCTGGTATTGAGCTGTAGTATTTTCTAGCCACCACTTTTTGTCTTGTAGCTTATGAGAGTGCAAAGCAAGATGTTTTGGAACTCCCAATCTACTTGGCTTATCAGTCTCCCTCTAGACGAAGTAGCTGATTCAGACAATGTGCTTTCTAGCACATTCTCTGTTCCAAGATTTCCTTCTCTTTTCTTGAGGCACAGAAACTTGAAACTCAGTGACTTTTGAAGCTTCAGAGCCAACCACAGCACTTGTCATGCGCCCAAAACAGCGTTGTCATGTTAGTTCCACTGAGGAGGCCAGCCTCTGGTCTGGTTCAGCTTCGCTCTGCCAACAACGAGTCGCGTCATTATTTGGTCAAACATCCTGCTTTTTCACAGGGAGTCCAGTGATAAGAATTAGGTTGAAACTTGAATTCTGCTCTGTGAGTGTTCTGCTGCTCCGACTTCTCCCTCTCAAGTTGTGGAACTCAAGCTGCGACGAGAGCAGGACAAGAGAGGAGCATTTCATCCAGGGACCAGCTTGCACGGGGCTGTACAACCCTTATGCCCTAAGAGACACACACTCTCTAGGTGACTTATTTGCCCAATACGCCGCTTCTCTTCCCATTAACCACACGTCTTTGCTGTTAATTGTATTATTTTGAAAGGTTATTTGAAATTGAGAAAATTCAGAAAAAATATGAAGACATGGCTGTGATGTATGCATTTGTAAAAAGTAGGACTCAGACCCTGCCACAGAGTAGGTGCTCAGTAGTTTGGGACTCTGTCTTATGACATAGAAATTAAACAAGCTTCCCTTTCAAAAAATATTTGCTTCCAATTTCAGGTATTATTTTAAAGTTCAAGCCCAAAATCCTCATGGCCCTGGACCTACCAGCCCTTCAGTCTCATTTGTTACAGAATCAGGTATGGGCGACTTCACATTCTCATTTCTTTCCTTTTCTCAAAAACAAATAATTTGGAATAGTGACTATTATAAAATAAAAACTGAAGAAGTAAAATCTTTACTTTTCTATTTAATGAATTCACATTGGCTATCACTTTATAAAATAAACAGCTTCTGTCTGCTAGCTTAAAACTTGGATAATAAAATTAAAAGTAGTCTTCCTTGGAACTGCCTAGAAGGTGGAAAGGTCAAATTCCAATGAAAGGGAAAAAGTCAAATTTTCAACCGTGTAAGAAAGTTAAGTTTGAATCTATCTGTAAAAGATTTAGTTGCAGAAATAATTTTTGTTTTTATTGCAAACAGCTGAAAAGCATCAGTGTCCTGGGCCTGAGAGGCCGTTTCTTCTTCTAATTAGTCACATCTCTAAGAGGCTTCCTTTACTAGGAGACGAAGATGTCTTTACTTAATATGAGGAGTTTAATTAAAATACTGTTCAATCTTGCAAGCAATATCACTCAGAGGATGTCCCTACATTTGCAAACGCTGGCATGCAGAGCTCTCAGGCCCTTCAGAAGAATATTCCTGTGGTCATGGTCTGAAGCAGTACACACAGAGTTGTGTGAATGGTGTGTGTGAACTGTGTGAACGGTGACAGTTCCTTGGTGAGCAACCTTTCCATATAGGAAGGCACACTGGAGGGTTGGTACCTGCAGCTCCAAGCCAGGCCACCTTCAGAAACCCAGCTCTGTGCTAAAATAGCTCTAGCTTCTATTTGGTTAGATTATTTCCTACACGTAGCTGGATCCCAGAGTGTTTATCATTGGAAGATATTTTTAAGTGTAATGATTTGAAATCTACTGAAACAAAATATGTGGAAAAAATAAATCTTTTATGAGAATATGCTTTTGCAGGAAATGTGGGCAAAGGACCTCAAAAGTGTTTTCCCCTATTTCATCTAAGGAGTGTGTTTTTCATTGGTAATTAAGAAAGAGTAAGAGAAAACCATTATCAGTAGTTAATTTGCTAAAGTAAAGAATTTGCCTATACTTATGGCTGCATTTGCTAAAAATAGAATGGACCTTTGGCAACTATCAGAATTAACGTGATAGAGGTTGTAGGAAAAAAACCAAATAATTCAAATCTAAAAAGCTATCAAGAAATTCAGGTCTGAAATCTATCTGAGAAGAGAAAGTGATATAAATGTAATTTCTGAGGCTGCAATGTACAATTTTGAAAAGACAGCTCTCTGCTACCCTCTTCCCAAGAAAAGTCCTACCATGCTCTCACCCTATCCTTTGTGGCCTCCAGGGAGTGAGTGATGAAAATCCAGGGCCCACCAAGACTTCTAAGTAAGACTCTCTTGGGTGAGATCATGGAAGCTCACTTTCAGTAGGCTTCCAGGAGATCCTCACACACATGGAAATTTGACAATTATTCGCTCTGGCCATCTTCACTTTATTCAGTCAGTTTATTCAAATCTCTCCTTCATTTTGTATGACCTGCTGAAAGCGGTTAGATTAACAACAAATTATCAAGTAATTGAATTATGACACTTGCCAAATGTAAAAACTAATATATGAAGTAAATATACCTGTGTAACACAGGCTGCACCGTGGGCGAAAGCTCTGTTGTTTTGTATTGTTCTGTTCCACCCCGCCCTGGAGTGTTTGAGACTTTTTTCATCAGACTATTGACACTTAAGAAAAGGAGAGCAAAACAAGCATTTACACTTACAGCTAATGGTATGTCCCTTTATTTTGTGGATGGTGGATGAGGTCAAAATGAATGGTATGTACAAAGGGTCAATACGAGGGAGATTTGGGGTGATGGAAATATCCTGATTGTGATTGTGATAGGGTTCCAGGAGTATACACGTGTTGAAATTCGTAGGATGTTTACCCTAAAAGAGCAACTTTACTCTATGATAATTTTTTAAAAATAACAAAAAGAGAGAATGGCCTGTGTTTACCTAGCCCATGGAATTTTATAAAAATGGAACTTTTTTTAAAGCAGAATTCCTTAAAAAGCTAGGTTCATGTTTTCTTAAGTGACATTATTTGGACTAAGATATAGACATGTTTTAAAAACAGCTTTATTGAGGTATAAATGGCATACAATAAACTGCACGTAATTAAAGTGTACAACTGAATAAGTGTTGAGGTGTTTTTATACCCTTGAAGCCATCACCATAATCAGGCTAGTGAACATCGCTATCACCCCAACACATGCCTCCTGCTGCTCTGCAGTCCAGATATATTTCTATCTGGATTATATACATTTATAAATATATTTACTTCTCCTGCCCCTCACCATGTGCTCATCTTCTCCCCTGTTTCCAGGCAACCACTCATCTGCTTTCTGTCACTATAGATTAGTTTTCACTTTCTAGAATTTTATATAAATGGAATCATACAGTATGAACTCTTTTGTCTGGCTTCTTTCACTCAGCATAATCATTTTGAGATCCATCCATATTGTTGTATGTATCAATAGTTCATTCTCTTTTATTACTTAGCAATATTCCATTGTATGGCTGTACCACAATTTGTTTATCCATTCATCTGTTAATAGACATGGGTTGTTTCTACTTTTTGGCTATTACAAATAAAGCTGCTATGAACACTCATGGACAAGTGTTTGTATGGACATATGTTTTAATTTCTTTTGGATAAATACTTAAGAGTGAAATGGATAGGTCATATAATAGGTATATGTTTATCTTTTAAAGAAACCTCCAAACTGTTTTCCCAAGGTAAGCACATTTTAAAAAATAATGAATATTGAATTATTTTGTAGTACCCAAAGTCAAAATCTTACTATATTCAGGGACCCACAGCTTCTGTATAAATAACATGGCAATATAACTAGAAAAGAGTATTTCTTAAAAGGAAATGTTTAGAAAGGAAAAACTGAGGAAAAACATTGGCATCTATCAAATAAACCTTACATTTTTCCTTATCTATTCCAGATAGATCTTTGGTTAGCTCTTTCAATTACAATAAACATTTTAACAGTTGCATGGTTGTGAAATATGATAGTGAAATCTATTTTTTTTTCATTCTACAGACAATCCTCTGCTTGTTGTGAGGCCGCCAGGTAAGTTTCTCTTCTTGATAAATGTGACATTCTAGTAATCAAGTTGAATATTGAATATGCGATTGCTACGATTAATCAAAAGAAGAAATGCTGGACCATTTTTGCATTTTCATAATTTTCTGACAACTTCTATGATTTCCTTGCACCCTTCATCCCGATCTAGGAAAAGAATGATCTGGGAAGTTTTTAAAGATTTTATTTATTTATTTTTCGCCCCCAAAGACCCAGTAGATAGTTGTATGTCATAGTTGCACATCCTTCTAGTTGCTGTATGTGGGACGCGGCCTCAGCATGGCCGGAGAAGCGGTGCGTCGGTGCACACCCAGAATCCGAACCCGGGCCGCCAGCAGCGGAGCACACGCACCCAACCACTAAGCCATGGGGCCGGCCTGGGAAGTTTTTAATAGGGCCATAGCAGCCAATATTTATAAAAAACCCATTATGGGATGGTTATGAAATAGATAACTTTATTTACATAACCCCTTTGAATATTTTAAATTGCTGAAAAGATAGCAAAAAAACATTAAGTGTCCAACAGATTTTTACTTTGTTTTTCAAACAAACTGTGAAAGCTCTATTGCTTAAGCTTAAGACAGGTCTTATGAGTGACAAGAACAGTAGGAGTTTGTGCTTTTGATGTGCCCCAAAAGATCAAATATGTCATTATAGCTTATTTTCCTTGAGGCTTAAAGATTTTTTCTTACTCCAAGAATCCGTTACAGAAAAGAATCCCTTAAAGAAATGCAAATACCTTAAATATGTCCAGGTAAAAGGAACTCCCCAACTGTACTTTAGTGCTAAGAAAGAAGAGGAAAGAGAAAGAGGGTGCCCTCTGAGGAGGTGGGAAAACTTTGCTCAGAAAAGCCTGAGAGGAGGGGAAGGCCCAGTGGATAAATCAAATTTTCTGATACCTTGTGCAAGAATAGACATTGTGGAACACCATGACTTAGAGGGTGTGTTTTGTGTTGTCAAGGCGGTGAGCCCATCTGGATCCCGTTTACTTTCAAACATGATCCTAGCTACACGGACTGCCACGGTCGGCAATATGTGAAGCGGACGTGGTATAGAAAGTTTGTGGGAGTCGTTCTTTGTAATTCACTGCGGTATAAGATCTACCTCAGTGACAACCTGAAAGGTAGGTCTTTGAGGATGCTGTGCTTTGGGAAGGTATGCGAGGTTTTTATTTTATTGGGTACTAACTTGACATCCAAGTGCATCAGAATGTATTTGAGGTGTGGACCCATTATGTCTCACTCTGGCTCTGATACAAACCAGTTCTGCAGGTTCTCCTTTGGAGTTACTAGTTTTTACATCGACATCCAGAAATATGTATATATATTTCAAATCTACTACATTTTAGGAATTAAGTCCAAAATCCTGTTAGAAATTTAAAGGCCAATTTTCTTTGCCATTAATTCGATAATAATAGGTGTGAGTGTAAGCTGGAAGTATTGAGGAAAAGTGCCCCCTCCAGTCCCTGCCGTTGCTACAACCTTACAAAGGAAAAAATGTAGATGGTGAAACATATATCACCAGTATTATTTGTTCTGTGTTTGAATAAAAATTACATTGTTTCCATCAGGGTAGGGGATTAAAACAAAAAATACCATAAGTACCTTGAACTACTAACATTTCAAAATGTCATTTCTACCCAGCTGGCTCTGACTCACCCATCTACAGAAACTTGTTTTTCATTTAAAAACTTGCACAACTTTTAACTTTTAGTACACACATTTTTTTAACTTTCCCTCAGCTGGTCTATATTTTGTCATGGGTCATTTTTTTTTTTTTTTTTTTTTTTTTTGCTAGTGGTGATCATTTAAAGACAATGTCAAAACTAAGTGTTCCCTACCATCCCCCACTCTGGCAGTTTCTCAGTGTATATGCCTCTCCCAACATTCACTGTCTATTTGTTTCTCTCTGCTCTTTCTTTTCTCTTCTGCCACCACACTTTTCCTCTGCTGCTTCAGAATTCCTGGGAGAGGTTGCCCAGCCGTCTCCAGTATCCCAGGGTTGAGAGAACAACTTTGCCCTACTGTGCAGCTGTGTTTCAGCACCATGGACAGCGTCTCATGCCACAGACGCACACCCTACTTCTAGTTATGTGTGAAAATAGGTTCTTCTATTTTGATAGATCTTTATACCTTTCATAATTGTTTCATGATATATTCTATGACTATCTTAGTTTCCTCTATTCCTTTCTTTAAATCAAGGAGTAAAAAAGGCTTACAATTTACAGGCTGAAACTGCCTATGATATTAATAGTTTCCATTTATTGAACACTTGTGAAGTATTTAGCACACATGATCTTGCTGAATTCTTACAACACTTATGAAGTCTGTGCCATTATCACAATTTTTTAAAATATGGAAAGTATGACACACAGAGTTTAAGTGAAGTACCCAATTCAAATGGTCTCCAAAGCTTGTGTAAACTCCTAAACCAGTGGTGGCATTTTTGACCAGTCACTGACCCATTATATTCCTTTATGCAGATACATTCTACAGCATTGGGGACAGCTGGGGAAGAGGAGAAGACCACTGTCAATTTGTGGATTCACACCTTGATGGAAGAACAGGGCCTCAGTCGTACGTAGAAGCCCTCCCTACCATTCAAGGTAATGTGAGCAAAGGCTTGATTATATTAAAATGAGGGGTGGGGGAGGAGGGCTAATATAAGGAGAAATTCACCATACCTCTGCCTTTGGTTTACCATTTGAAGATGGATGTTGGCAGTATTTAGGATCATAAAAATAAGGAATCAGCAAAATACCTCTACCATGTGCTGGAGTTGGGGTGAGCCTAGGGGAGGTAGGGATACAAAGGAATATAAGACCTTATCCCTGCTCTCAGGAACATGCTCCATAACTTGGAACAGAAAATAAATATGTGAAAGGTAACTGAGAGTGAACAACTTCAAGTACAGGATAATGTACTTTAAGTACATTATGACAAGATAATGACAAGAGTTACGTCACGTGATTGTCCTATTGTCAGGTAATTGTGCAGATTATAGTCACTGAGTTCAATGGAGGCAGGCTGTCTGGGGAGGTTTTCAGAAGAGTCATAAAGATACCTAGATATGCAAAGATTGGGAAGCCTGCCAAGTGGAGAGTGGCATAGACAAAAGTACAGAGAAGAAAAAAATAAACATGCAAACCAACCATATACCTACTTCATATACTTCAAGAGATAATGTATCAACTATTTGATTATGTCATCATAAGCTGAGAACAAGTATATTAATCTCAAAGGTTAACAACTTGTTACTAACTCTCCCAATCCCCCAAACAGACAAACAAACAAATAGAACAGCTGAATGAAGTCCATCACTTTTTCCTTTATGCACTCAACTCTTAGTGATCTGGCATTCTCAAGACATGAAATGTTCTGATCTATCAAGTTTTTTAGTTTGGAAAAAAAATACCATAGGCTGGTATACAAGTTACCCGTTTTCAAAGAATTAAGATACAGTAAAATACACAATACAGTAAACTAAGTATATTAGTCAGAATTCTCCAGAGAAACAGAACCAATAAGAGAAAAAGAAAGAGGAGAGAGATTTTAAGGAATTGGCTCATACGATTGTAGAGTCTGGCAAGTCCAGCAGGGTAGACCAGCAGGCCGGAGACCCAGGGAAGAGTACATGTTGTAGTTTGAGTCTGAAAGCAGTCTGCTGGCAGAATACCCCCATTTTCAGGGGGGGTCAGTCTTTTACTATTAGGGCCTTCAACTGATTGGATGAGGCCCACTCACATTATATAGAGTAATCTTCTTTACTGAAAGTCTGCTGATTTAAATGTTAATCTCATTGAAATAATACTTTCACAGAAACATCTAGAATAATATTTGACCAACTCTCTGGGTACCGTGGCCTAGCCAAGTTGACATATAAAATTAACCATCACAATAAGTGTACAAAATATATCACATTTCTTCATTTTTTCAGGATCTTGCAGTGCCCCAGGGTTACTATGCATTATTTGTATTTCACTGTGTTTCTGAAGCTGTGGTCATGGTTTTGGCTCTGAACAGAGGTGCTGGTTAATCAGTACACTCACTGGTAGAATGACAGGTAGCCTTTCATCTGACAAGAGTGAAAGGGACAAAGGGATGAGAGTAGCTGTTGAGTTGCCAGAAAAATTTTTTTGAGTTTGGGGCATCACTTCTATTTCAAGAGAGAAATGGTCAGAAATGTTTCAGCATTCTTCCCTTGGAGACATTTACTTGAAAGATCTGAAAGTCTACCACAGATTTCAAGAATTAAACCTTGGAGGCTGGAGTTCTAGGCAAGTCTGAAGGCCTTAAGTTCGGTGAGGACCAGGTGCGAATCTTGCTTACAGTTATTTGCCCAGCTCAGGGCCTACCCACCGTGAGGGCTCCATAGCGATTGGCTAAAATGATCTCCTTTTGTGGAGAGAGAGAAATAGAAGGGACTAATGAACACTCTCTTCTACCTGTGTCACACACTTGTGTGGGGACTGGGTTATCCCCACAATTCATGCCTGGTATAAACCTCAGAGGCTGTTGTGACCCCACACAAAAATGGTTGTGTTTATTTGGAAGTAACATTTGTCATAAGAACAAATTCTCAGAGGTCTTCTGTCTGAATGGAGGTTGTAAGGATGAGAATTTTCCTGTTGGTTCAGGCACTTTGCATGCTACGATTGTACACCAGTTCCGAGTGTGGGTTTTTCCCCTACACCAACAAGCAATTTTCTGACACCAGTTGGTGTCAGCTACGATTCAAATCAATTCTGACACTGTCTACCCAGAGATAACATCAGATCCCACAGGGTAAGGGAACAGACCCACAAGACTGCACCCCCTCCCCTCCACTTTACACACCAATCACAAGTCCAGGTTGTTGCCTGTGCTTCTGGCCTATTGGCTACAGATTGGAGGTTCCAACTACCCGCTCCTTGGGTTGGATTAATTTGCTAGAGTGGCTCACAGAACTCAGAGAGACATTTTACTTAGTAGATTACTGGTTTGTTATGAAAGGATATAACTCAGGAACAGCCAGAGGGAAGAGAAGCCTAGGGCAAAGTATGGGGAAAGGGTGCAGAGCTTCCATGCCCTCTCTGGGCACGCCATTCTCCCAGCATCTTCACGTGTTCATCAACCCCGAACTTTCTAAACCACCTCCTTTTGGGTTTTTATGGGGGCTTCATTACATAGGCATGATTGATTAAATCATTGGCCGTTGGTGATTGAATTCAATCTCTAGCCCCTCTCCCCTCCCCAGAGGTCAGGAGGTGGGACCAAAAGTCTCAACCCTCTACTCCCATGGTTGGTTCCTCTGGTGACCAGCCCCCACCCTTAGGTGCTTTCCAAAAGTCACCTTATTAACACAGACTCAAATGTAGTCAAAAGAGGTTTGTTATGAATGTCAAGACACCTTTATGGTTCTTATCACTTAAGAAATTCCAAGGCTTTAGGAATTCTGTGCCAAGAATGGGGATGAAGACCATATATATATTTCTCATTATAAATCACAATATCACAGATGCATTTTCTTCCCCTCTCTTTCGTTCTACCCTTCCAGGCTACCATCGCCAGTATCGCCAGGAGCCAGTCAGCTTTGGCAACATTGGTTATGGAACACCCTACTACTATGTGGGCTGGTACGAATGTGGCATCTCCATTCCAGGGAAGTGGTAACCACAGGACGATCATGCTGAAAGCTCACCCTACCTGGCCCCCTTGACTAACTTGCACTAGGGGTTGTGAGCAGGAAAAGGAAGATGGTGTCCCAAGCCCTACTGTCCCTGGATGTCAGCAAGGCTACATGATGGACACTGGACATTTTGAGCATCTTCAGTCTGGAACTCAGTCCTACTTCTTGGTCTGGACTACACACAGGATCAATGTTGCTGTTAACTTTGCTTCTCCACACCTTTTGCTTGTAGTAGCACATCCCAGAGACAGCAGAAACACACAGCTACAGGGGCTGCCCACTGATTCCAGGGGACAGCATAAATATGCTGTGCTTGCTTCATGGAACGCTACACGCTTTCTTTTTTTTCATTGGACTCCTCCAAAACTAGCCGAATTTAAGCGTCAGATCTTTTTCTGTGCAGTAGAACTGAATTACTGAGAACACCATCAAAGGAAATATATCCTACTCAAGATTTATTCCATGGACTTACCCACTGCTAGACCAAATGTACCAAATCTTATTTGTAAATTCTCAATTTTGATATATATATGTATATATGCATATACATATCCACACTTGTCTGCAAGAACATTGATTAAAATTGCTAAATTTGTACTTTTTCACTCCATAAATGTGTATGGGACTTTTTTGGGGCAAAGGTGCTGTTTGTTAACACATTTTAGAAGTATCCAGAGAATACGTACTCTACATAATATGACAACAATGGAAAGGTGTGCTTCCTGTGAATGCTGCTGAACTATGGAAATGAATGGGATGCTGTGAAACTAACAATGAACTAGTTGCAAACTGAGTGCTTTCTACCAAAGGAGACCATCTTTCCATACCCGTGGGAAAAACGGACTGTGTGCCTCCCTGGGGATGTATCCAGTAAATTGCCAGATTAATTAAGATTTTAAGTCCCAAATGATTTTAAAATCCAGTTCTTTTAAAAAAAACTCTCCTTTGCCCTTTCCTGCCTGTCTCAGTATTTACTCCTCAAAATATAAGCATCTTACCTCTCTTGATTGTAGCACAAGAAAGTTTATTTAAAGACACTTTAATTCTAGTTACTTTTAAGACATGACGTCCTTTCCATGTGCTTGGCTCCTCTGTGCCCTCAGGCAGCTCTGTGGAATGAAGGGTTTGTCTTCTCTCATAAAGGTTCCAGCCTAAGAGAAGCAGTGGTGGGAATGAGGTAGAGACAAAAGCTTTTCTGGGGCCCACAGGCTGTACCTCTGTGTAAATGATTTAATGGCAGAATGCAGTCCAGGCTCCTGGCATCAATTATTTTCATGTCAGTACTATGTCCAGGTGAAACCTGTTGTATCTGATGGGTTTAAAGTTGAAACTTACAAGGAAACAAGTAACTTTGCAGGGTCCTTGTGATGGGGCTGTGATATCTGACATTTTCCTCAAATTCTACAATTCCCTTTCTACAGTAAACAAAAGTGAAGAAAATGCAAGTGTTCTGACAGCCTGGAAAAAATCTTAGAATTTCTTAGGGGAACAAATCAGATACCCAGTTCATATGTTATTCACATTTTAGTTTGCAAAATACGATAGGACTCTTTAAGTAGCTTTTGGGGCTCTTTTATTTAAAAAGGGATGTTTAAAAAACACCTTATTTTTCACACTAACATTTAAATGTGCTTCACGATGCCAAGCCAAAGATAAGATCTTTAAATATAAGTGAATTTTCCTAATAAGCACATAATTTGCTTCCTTTATTTCTCCCACCTCCCCTCCAAATTTCTTTCTGGTTTCAGCATCCACTGGCCTGCAGTTGGAGACCAGAGAAAGAGGCCAAAATGAGACCCTTGCGGGGGAAAGCACCAGCAAACTCACATTTCCTGAAAGTCTTTCCTCGGTATAAATAATTCATTAGCATGTACAAGAGAAGAGCCATTTGGTCTGTTCCACAAACCTGTCTTGGTTATGGGGCCTCTTTTGGAAGAGATGGAGATCCAGGTCAACAGAGATGCAGGCAACCTCTTCTTCACGACTCACACTCTTCATACACTATACGGCATGTTTCCTGCCTCACCCCTCAAAGGGTTTTATGCTCCTTTAAAATACTAAAGGGCATATTTCCCTCAGAAGAATTTTATGCTCACTTCACAGAAATACAAAGAATTCACTGATGCAATGATTTTCAAGCCCTGCCTGGAACCTTAGACTGTATTTGATTATAGAAACCTGAACTTTCATTAAAAATAAATGTTTGCAATTTTGATGGAAATTACTTCAAACCCCAGATGACAGAGCAGCCAAAACAAAAACAAAAACACTGACTCTAAGCATAGGTAATATTATTACCAATATTCTGTCCGAATTAGGTTACATAATAGTTCAAATGAGTCCACAGTGGTCACATTAAGTTTCTAGAACTGTATAAATTCTGGATGTCAAGTTTTACAAACCCCATAGGTGTGAAAACCACTTCATATCAAGTTAGGAGGAAATCAGTGGGACTGTTTTCCTAAGAAGACTTCATCTATTTCAAGGGCTCTGAGGAAGAAGAGAGTTGGCCAACTCTTGAGGTCAGAAGTAGACCCAGGTGGGAATTAAAGGAAAGGAAAATTTGGCTCAATATGACAAAGAGTTTTAAAAGAGTCCAGCTATCAAATGAGCCTTATTGGACAATAGTGAGAGGTCCATCATCTGAAAAATCTTAAATAACTGGAAATGTCTAAACTTGCAATTGGAGGCTCCAGCCTGTTTTTACATGGCCTGTGAGCTCAGAATAGTTTCTATGTGTTAAAGGTTGTAAATAAAGACACAAGCAAAAAACCAATAACGTGCAAGAGAGACCATATGTGGTTCACAAGGCCTAAAATATTTACCATCTCATCTTGTAAGAGAAAGTTTGCTTACCCAAGGATTAGTTTTCACTTGAGGTTTAAGGAAAGTTTAAGCAAAGTCCTAATTTAAAAACTAGCACATATTACTTTTCTCTTACTTGAGTTATATTTATTTCCTGACCATCTCCAGTGCCTACAACATGAACTCTGTTCAGTGGTTGGATCCCCAGTTCCCAAGTTTCCCGTTTGGCAAGCCTTCTGTTTGTGCTGTGCTCTCATGAAGTATTATGCTCTTTAGGAGGCTCCATGCATATTTAATATTACCATTTAGTTAAAATAATTTCCAGATTTTACCAGACGAGTTTTGACTTCTTTTTTCCCCTTTGACCTATTCAAGCCGCATATCTGGGTCAGCTCAGGAGGATGGGGAATTTGAGAAGGAGATGATGAATGGGGTTAGGGTGGGTTTGCCTCTCTTGGCATGAACATAGGTCTTAGTCACTATGCATAATTATAAAATGATTCCACTGGTAGAATCAGCCCATGTTTGTATAACATCTTACATGTTGTAGGTGCCTTAAAATCATCTCCTTGAGATGTAACTATCTTGCAAGTGCAGATAAGAAGTGAGTTTAAAAAGTAAAAGTATCGTCTTTTTAAAGTATTTTCACTTTAAAAAGTATCTTCCCAACCATCTCTTGTCCCAATTCTCAGTAAAATTATATGGAAACACAGAGTGAAGGGTTATGAATGGAGGTGTGGTTTTCAATCTTAGTTGTAAGATTATTAATGTACAAAATTTAAAAATCATAATGAGAGCTAAGCACATAAGGGTTTATGATGAAAGTGAAATAAAATTGATGTAGAATTAGAATTCTATATATTTAGCACAAAAAAAATTCTTGCTCCAAATCAGGAAAGCAATACTCTCTCAGGCAGAGATTATTTAATGGCCAAGAACAGAAATGCCTCGAGTGTTAAGTAAATGATTTACATAAGGTCATGCAATCTTAGGACAGGAAATAATGTGTGGGAGGTGGTGCTGGGTGATGAGGAACGACATGTTAGCCAGGTTGCCTCCTTTTCCCTCTAGTTTATTCTCTCTCTCTCCTGTTCTCCATGCATTGCTCCATTCTCCTCCTTGTAGATTGGCTTTCTCTGGGTACACATGGCCTAAATGACCACCAACCCCTAGACTTCATGCAGGGCTGCTGTATACAACTGTGCCATGTCCAGCTGCCATAACTATATGCAGCTATCTGTCTACAAGACCTTGTAACTCAACCAACTCTCCAAGGCTCTCAGTGCCCAGATCCAAAGGTCTGGGACCAGGCTCTGATTGGCTATCTTGGGGCAAGTGTCTACACTTTGGTCCAATCAGCTATTCCATGTGGGGGTGTCACTTGGTAGAAACACGGCTCCCTACACCTGCCCTGTGAGCAAGGGCTGTTTGTATGTGGAAAGAGATAATGAGCGACATCTCTAGGACAAATACCCATAGGTGAGTGAGAAAGAAAATAATATGAACAATAAGTCATTTTATAAGGTGACTGATAATTTTTAGATAACTTCACTTAGGATATACTGAAAGTTTCATGTTTGTTCACTACAAGGCTTTATATTTTCTGTGCTCCAGCCTTTCTAGCTACCACCAGAGTGGCTTTCCTTCTGAAACTAAAAGTTTGAGAACTATTCCAAATATTTACAATTAAGTCATGGGCTAGATTCACTCTACCACACCTATGTTTTTAAAGAAAAAATAAGTGCATTCCTTTTATTGTCTGAGATGCTCTAGGAAAATTCTTAATTTTGAACAGAAATAAGAAAGCAATCAAATATACAAAGTCTTTCTGCAGCTTTTTGTTATCTGGTCAACTATGAAATGAATAACAAGATACAATAGATTAGCTAGAGACGGAAAATTCTTGAACGCCATGGCAAGTAACTGACCCTGAACACTCATGGTGGGAAGTGGAGTGACTTTGGAGGAACCTGGGGATGCACTTCCTTGGGAGCTCTCAGATATCCAGCTCCCTCAGAGTAAAATCCTAAGTCTTTCCCACAGCCTCCAAGGTCCTCCATGATCTGGTCACCCTCCTGCCCCAATTCACACCAACAACCCCACCACCACGCTGGCCTACTGTCTCCCCACCACTCTCCCTCCTCTTCTGCTCCTGCCTGTCACAGACCCTGCACAGAGTAGGTCCACAGTAAATATTCGTCAAATGGGTAAACGTATGGCTAAGAATATAGACAGGAATTAAAAAGGCAAAGTTTTTAAATCCCAGATTATCAATGAGCAAAAGGTGCCCCTCCAGCCTACCAGCCCATGTATGATTCCCTCTCAGCTCCCTGAGGTTTTCCACAATGGTTTGTCAAACTGTCCCCACGGTTGGTTCTCACACTCTACTCTCCATGGACTCTCACCACCATCCTCCACTTCCCCTCTCACTTCAGGAGATGACACCTCATTTTACAGGGCAGATGGAGCCATCAGATGGCATATCTACCCACACACCTGCATCGACTCCCATCCTGTTACCCTTACGAAGAACTGCCCCCTCAGGCTCAAGACCGGTGCTTGACTCTCATCTCCTGTGACTGCGGTGTCTGCCTCTTGAAAGATTCTTCTCCAACATTCAGACATGCTCTGGTCTGTCCTCATCTTGAAAAAAAATTTTTTTTAATTTAAATTAAAAAATATTTTTTCCATCACCTCAGGTCCCTCTTCAGCCATTCCCATCACACTTTGCTGCACTTTGAGCTGAGTTCCTGAATTAATCACCCCTATTCCATGTCCTTGCCCTCCTCCTCATTCCCATGCA